TCATTTTCATCAGAAAAATCTCACCAAACATGTTAAAGAAATTCCAGATGAAAAAAAGTAAAAATTAAAGAAATTATATTTTTCTATTATGATTTGTGGAGCCGTGAAATCTCGTAAAAGAAACCGACTGGTGTAGCGTTACACGCTTAACTGACTGCGAGCGAGATAACATGGGCGCAGCAATGACGCAGCCCTAGGCGTAGGACCATCTATACTGTCACTTGTAGAATCCAAACTTACTGACTCTTGTAGAGAATTTACTGTATTTACTTCGAAAGACATTTTGGAACGCCTAATTTAGATTTGGCTATAAAAAATTTAATCGTTTAGAAATATATTGTTCTTGTAACTTTCAATAAAAATTGTTCTTATAACTTCTCAATGACTTTTCTGACATAAACGTAACTGAAATAATTGAAAACAACCCATAAAAATGAAGATAATTTTAAAATTATTGAAAAAAAAATGCGTGAAACATCAAGTACACGAAAAATGAAAAAATTATCTTATTGAACGAGAAATAAAAATATTTCTTTAATTATGATTTTCTATAAAAGAATAAAATAAAATCATTAGTTCGAGCGTTACATTAAACAGAGTTTTCATTTTTAAGAGTCCGTAGAAAGTCTTTACGTGTCCGAGAAGTCATTGGATAATTATTTAAACGAGAATGCCGCGTAGCATGAAGAAAAATCACGGCAAACCGAGGTGCACTGTAATCCAACCGGCTATATCATAGCTGCTGCATTATTAGAAACACGTATCCGTACTGTAAAAAGTAGTTGCACTCGTTGGAGGTGAGTTTTTAAACGGTTCGTTATAACAAAGCGTTACGAAATTAACGGAACAACAAATTGCGTAACTACGGGTAGACACGGTTTAATATTTCGAATTCTGTTCAGTTAAACTTCGTTATTTAGTCATCAATTGAAATTAAATGAAATTAGTATTTTATATTTCTCATTAAGTTAATGATACGTTTCTTTGATTGACATTTTGAATTGTCTCAAAAACTAAAGAATAAAGATAAGATTTCTTAATTTTGTATATACATAGGTTAGGTAGAATCAAACTATGGAAATTAGCCTGTCGCAACAATATTTTCATTACACTTTCTGTTTAGTGAGAACTTTGTTGTATTTCAAACGAAATTAATACAGTTTATTGAAAAATACAATTTAACAATTTATAAAACACAATTATATTTTAATTTATGCAACTATAATATATTACTGATACCTTAACCATAGTAATCGTGCGATAAAAATTTTATTAACGAATCATCGATATTATGTAAGGATATCAAGAATATTGAAATATGTTTTCCTTCTAACAAATTAACTAATTATCTCGTGAAACAGTTTCGACATCCTTCAATTAAACTTCTCTCGAAACATTGAGGAACTAATTCCACTTCATTCTACTTATTTTATTAGCCTGTTGCGCCATCTTTTTCTTCGATGGTTTTTACAATTACCAAAGGTGGTGCTGTTTTATGACTTGAGTAATCTAAAAGATCGGCTTCCCTATTCTTCTGCACGTACTGGCCGAGAAGATGAATTAAAAGGAGGCCGATTGCGTTGCAAATAAATGTGAGACGAGAAAGTCTTCGTTATTTCGATCATTTCCCAGGCTATCGATACTACGTACTAGAAAACGTTAATGGTACCAATACTTTGAAAGAACAAATAAAGCATGTAATAATTTTATTAA